ACAAAACCTAACTGAGACTGACAATTATAGTGTTTACCTTTTGTTTACTTGCTATTTCTTTTCCATCTGTGTGATTTTCGGTGGTTTCAGAGTAATATCATGGAATTCAGTACAATTTCAAGTGCACATTTCAAAATACAGAAACACTCATTTTTATTAAATATTGGTCTGGGTGAAAATAATAAATAATGTTTTTGTCAATAATAATAATAATTAATTTATTATTAGAAAGCAAACACACAACCAGAGACAGGACGACATGATCCATGATAAGACCTGCTGCAGAATTCTAATTAAAAAATTTTCTGTCTGTGTATGTGGAGCCTACTGCTGCATAAACAAAATGTCTCAGCTGGTTCACTCCCACTATGTTAAACATTGTTTGTCCTCCCATGTCTGAGAAGGTATTTAAGTGACCTAGCTCAGCTTCAACACTTAACCCTTATTATTTCTCCTTTACAAGCCTTAACTAGTCTTAACTAACCTCAGTTTTAATAATCAGTCCAGAATCCAAGCCCTATCCTTTGGTGGCCTTAATGGAAAAAATTCCTCTCAAACTTCTGTTATGCAGCCTGGCATGCTCAGCACATTCCATGAGTTATTTCACCATGAAATGTTTAATTTACAGTTTTGGTGCTCCCTCTTTCACATCATCTCAGATATCCACTTCTGATTAAGTTCCTGACTCGCCAAACAATCTTCCAGTAACTGTCGAGTGTGTCTCTAAACTGTTTTCATCCAGCTGAGAAATAAACTGTTATCATGACAACGGCAGTTACTCTGTAGTGTTTCTGCAGTTGAAAAAAGTGAGAGCTGCACCCCAGAGGTCTGTGCATGACTATCTTTCAGTCTTATACTACTTACTGCCTGTAAATCTGTCTGTCCCATCTTAAAGGAAATACAAGACACACATAAGCCTTACAGATTATTCTTGAGGCACTAAAAGTAGATAAAAATATATGTTCCCGATTCTTTCTTTGATACTTGAGTCATTTCCCATGGTGACAAACCAAATGGCGGAACCTCAAACATACATCAAGATAGTAACCCTAAAATAGACTCTTGAAGAAGCAGCAGCTGGCCTCCTAAAAATGTCCCAACTTTAAGGATCACAGCAAAGCAGAAACCTCTAGCACAACTTCACCCACTGCCAAGGTGCACAGATGAGGAAAGATAAACAGAAAAGAACAAAAATACAGCAAAACACAGTGTATGTTTAACAACTTTGAAGGTCCACATGTAAAGCCCTGAACCACCACCCCCAACACACATAAACACAAAGCCCAAATAATGTGCTGACATTCTAGTCTAAGGCTGGAATGTGATAAAGAGACATGCAGCTCTTCACCACCAAAGCAAAGATGAAACCCTGATGTTAGAGGTCAACCTCCCTGCTGATTTCCCAGAACTACAGCTAAAGTCTCTGCTTCAGTTTTGAATCTTGCTTACTATGAATTCTTTTGATGAAAAAAGAAAAACAAGTCAGTTGTCAGGGAAGTATAAGCCTGTTTATATTATTTAAAGAGAAAGAAATGTTCTCTTAGAAGGTTTTTTTTCTTAATTATGTCCTATTTTCTGTTTTTTTCTGCACTTTCATTGTTTATGTGTATGTTTATTGTAAGTATAGTACTTGTGCTAGCAAGCGGTTTATGCTTTGCTTTCTGTTAAATGAATGACTTTTGTTGTGGAGTGAAACAACAGTCATGGAAGTTGTGGACAATAACAGGTGGTGGAGGTTGTGTAATGGTGGCCATCACATGGCTGAGTTGTATTGTTGCATTTCCTGCATCTCTCCAGTTCTCTTCCTCTCTGGAACATAAAAACACAACACTGGACAGTGGACAAATTACTTTTAAAATGGAATGTGATTTAAAAAAAAACTCTTTGACCTCATAAAGTGCTTAATTCAAATGCTTTTCCTTCATTGTCATTTTAAAGCAATATGAATCTAAACACACTACAGCAGAAAAAGCCCTGGCTCCTTTGCATTATTATGAAATGGGCGGAGACTAAGGTCAGCTGAAGCTCTTATCTTGACCAAGATTATCAAAAAAGTTATGAGAAATAAAGCAGGAAACATTAGACACAGACACACAACTGTGTCCTTTTTAGCTGTCATCCACTCACATGGCCTGAGCAAAAATAGCCACAAAGTGTCATTTACACCCCAAACTACTTAAAATTCCAGCCACTTCAGACGTGCACAAACATGAAGTGGCTTTGTTTAGATGCTGGGAAAATCATTTTCAAGGCTCAGGCTAATAGATGGCCTGAAGGGCACTCACATGATTTCCAGTGACAAACACCCAAGCCATATGGTTTCTTTCCTATTCATGTTATTATCCACTTATTATCAACTGACACCACGCACACACATTACATTTGTAAAGTGAGAGCTGACAGCATCCTGTACTCTATATCATACACACATTCTGCCGAGCAATTGCTCCTAGATTGAGATTAAAACTGAAAAGGGGCCGTGCCTTTGAAATAGCTGATCCCAAGTTATGGAATAGTCTACCCCTCTGTAGTAGATCTGCACCCAGACTGATGGCTTTTAAGCCTCAGTTACAAACTTATTTTAGAAGCTTGTATGTGTTTTTATTTTGTTTGTTTTTCCCTACTGTTACTGTATATGCGTTCTATATAATTTTTTTTTATCTTTAGCTAGGGTTATTCTGCAGCACTTTGGTCAACTGATGTTGTTTTTAAAGACGCTTATAAATACATTTGACTTTGACTTGACACAGTGTGATACAACTCAAAATATACCACAATCGTGTATCAGTGACATTAGTGTCCATCTGAGAACTGCTCATATGACTGTAGTGTTTGGTACTTCATCCACTAACACAAGGCGGAGTATCATTCTCTTCCTGGAACACAGCCAGTGGAGGCCCATCAACAGATCGACCATTGAAAGGCCATTGGCCAGTTAATGTCAACAGCACTTGGAGCTGTGTGAGGATGAACAGACTTCCTACTAGCATCCTCCACCTCCCTCCCTCATGTTTTCCTCACTCACCGGCCCAACTAGCCCCAACACACACAAACCCTTTATCCCACCATGTAGCCACTGTCTCATGTCATCATGTCAGACTCTTTTATCCCATCTTGCCTCCAGTACCTTATTCCCATGTCTGCATCCTGTCTGCTCTTGCCTCAGCAACGATTTGCCATCATCTACCACACAGCTGTTATGTAACCTGTGATTGTATGTGTGTTTTCTAAGAAGAGGGAGAGGTTTGGAGGAAGAAGACATCATTGATAACTGTGTTGTTCTTATCTGGGTTCTCACATGCTCCACAGTGCTGGGAGAAGGGTGGGGACAGAAAATGTACTTCCACCAGACACAAACACACACCATACAAGCAAATAGAAACCCTGAGCTACACTAACAGGCGCTGACTGTCTCAGTGGGACATTCAGTATGTGGCAGGTGCCTTCTGTCATTGACTATCAGTTCCAGCTGGAGAGCCGGCTGTGATTCTGTCCCTGGGCCTAGCCGAGGTATTGGCAAACACTTTGTCTGAATTGGCAGTTTTGCTGTTTCACTTCAATTTCAAATGGTGACTAAACAAAGACTGATACGCCTTTCAATAGTAGGCAACAAAAAAAGACTTGAACCTGATCAAATCTGACCAGAATCTCATCAGTAGATTTTTTATCCCTAATAAAAATGAACTGCATCAAGTGGATGCTCCATATATTTCTCATTCTGTAAGAGAAAGATGCAAATCTGGAACTGTCTTTTTCATACTGCTTTCTTGTTCTCTGCATCCTCTTGCCAGGTGGCTGTGTTTGTCTTATGGGCTCTGAAGGGTAAACTGGGTGTAAAATAAATAAAGGCTGTCATGTCCAATATTTACTAGAATTTAACACTGCACAAATGGTCTGCTTATTTTCTGCAGCATTCATCACATCTTTGTACTGATCAACTGCACACGGGCAAAATATCACTGACTCCACAGTGAATGTCCAAACTCAAAAATGTCTCTGATGTGCCTTATTATCCAGTGCCAAGAGGACAAATAGCACCTAGTAGTCAAGCACATTCATCATTGCAATATCTATCACTCACTGACATGAACATGAACACCATCAAAGTCTGCAATCAAAAAACTGCAAGTTGCTTGGCAACAGCTATGGACAAAGAAAAAATACATTGAAAATTCATCAGAAGAAAATCTGGAGCTAACAAACAAAGTCTGGCTTCAGGCGCTTTGAATATGTTCCAGCTCTCTCTTTGCTATCCACTGCAACTCTGTGACACACCAGTGTATGTGTGACTGACTTTACTTTTCAACTTTTTAAAATATTAATGTGTGCAGTTAGAATAAACAAAATGCAAGCAGTAAGTGATTTTTGAGCACTACATAATAAGCCATGTGATGCACAAAAGAGGGAGCTACAAAATCAGTGAGAAAAATATCCAGGTAAAAAGCATTATAATGATTTTTGATGAGGATTTTGATAAGTAACAGCAGCAAGGAGAATGTGGCTCTGGTAACCAGGTTAAGGTGATGCAGAGGAAGAAGAGGAGCACAAACAGCCACACACAGACACAGACACTGACCTCTTCTGGGTGTTCTCAGGATAGGAGGGTGCAGTATCCTGTGTCCTTCCTACCATAAAGCCAATCAGTGTAATTACAGGCTGTGTTTCTAATAACCAGCCGCGCGCGCACACACACATATACAAGGAAACACACATAACTGACAATGCAGTTAGCATGCAAATAAAGCGCAGTAAAGACCCCCACACACACACACACACACACTCACACACCATACACACACTTCACTTTCACTGAATTTACGTTATTGTAACTAAAATACACCCCTGTAACGTTCTGAGCAGTGCCTTTGTTTTAATTTAATCTACCTGTGAGGAGAAAGGTGTGTTGCAAAGCGCTGATCCCCAGGAGCTCCTTAGGACCGACTAATTAATGGCTAATAACCGGGATTAGTTTTAACGGCGGAGGCGTGACCTACCTGCTGACCGCTACTTCTTTTCCTTTGTCTTCTTCTTCTTCTTCAGTGCACGCCTCATAAATAAACACGTATTCACCGCACCGCTGGTGGGACGACAAACGGGCAAGAGAAGTAGCGGGACGGATGCTCATGTGCGTTCAACAGTAGTAATAACAATAACAGCAGCCTCTGAATAGGATGGCATTGGGCTTCTTTTGTGCGCCAGCTGCTCCTCCCCCCTCTCTCTCCCCTATCTTTTCTCTCTCTCTCACTCTCTCTATCTTTTTTTCTAGGCACGCGAGCTGAATAATGCAGGGCTCGCGAGGTCCCGGGAGTGTTTTCTGTCCCGTTCCACAGACAATCGGAGAGCGAGCCGCCAGCGCGAGCTCCAGCCAAGCACAATGAGGCCGACCCACGCGGATCAGGTTGCCGCCGTACTGCCTTTCATTCATGTATTCAGCTGCAAAACAATCTGTCCTGGCTGTAGCCCGGCCAGCCCCTTTACCCCTTTACCCCTCTACCCCGTCCTGCTTCTGTACCCCACCTCTCAGTCTCTCAGCCTCCTGCTCTCCAATGTACTCAGCTGACGTTTTCAGAGCAACAAAACCAAAGGCAGGGCACTCTAGAACATGTGGTGGTGGTAGGCTCACGTACATTTACAAGCACCCTACTTAAAAAAACTACTGCACTTGAACATTAGGCTACTCTATATTCTTTAGGTTTTCTTTATGCTACTTCACTACATTTAAAGGACATACCATAGATCTTACACATAAGTTCAGGTCATAGCTACTATATAGCCTATATGGAAACAGATTCTTCTGTGGGTCTTGACTGTGCCTGTCTTGTTCATTTCATGATACTATGTGCTTTACATTTTTTTTTAACTCTACTTTTTTCCAATTAGGTGAAAGGAACTAGACAGAAAGGGTTGTTTGGTTATGTACACAGTTTCAGTGAGTTGCAGTCCAAAAAGTAGATCATGGAAATTGCAGCTTGGAAGCCTGTAACCCCCCTGGGTCCTGTAAAAAGTGAACAAATAGTCCCCTCTCTACAGCAGCATTATGAAAGCAAATAGCACCGGTGAACTTTCTTACTGTTTTTCATGCTTTCTGACAAATATGTGAGTACATTGTGTCAAGAATATCTTATATATGATATTTGTCCTGTACCTAATCGTAACTTTAAAGTTTCAAATTCAAGTAATTTCATTCTCAAATTTACATAAAAAGACAGTCACACAGATGCACACTACTTACCGTGACAGAGTATGGAAGCCTGGTTGGAATGGGAGCTTGATATCCATTTGCTGTTGCAAAGCCCGGTGTTTGGCCAAAGCCTATGATAAAACAAAATTTGAGTTATTGTTGCCATTGTCATCTATGTTAATCATCATCTTATTACATACACTGCTTTTGTTGATGTTGTCAACTAAAGAACATCGAAAATGTAATAGACTACAAAGAATAGCCCCCTTTAGCTTGTTAGCTGGTTTTAGGATTAGCTTTATAGACTCCAAAATGATATAATATGTAAAGTGAAAAATGAAAAATCCATGCATTCTCACATTTGACACCAAAAACCTAATGATGCAAACATGCATCTGACCTGTAAATATACTAATATTAACAGCCAGTGATCTGTATTTGCACAACCTGCACATATGCTGTTGTGCTAATTTTCAAATCTATAAACTCTTATTCTGTAAGTTAGGTATAGTGAAAATTCATGCATGTGTATTTGCATAGTTGAGACCATAAATCTGTTTGTTTTCACTGCAATCTCTGGCTGTATTTTTATATTGGCCCTGTTTCTCTGCTTCAGTGACCCAGTTCTGCCTCAAGGAGTCAAGTTATCATCCTCAGCCTCCTGACACCCACACTCACATGTAAGTGAAGTATCAACACTGCTGTCAGAGTAGAAAACATCAACAAAACAGGTTTCTACTCTAACTACTACTGTTTTTACTAGTACAAATACTGACAACTATACGGTATACCCAATATCATTATTTCTGCTTATGTAAAGGATGTCAAAAGCTGATCCATCAGTGAAAGTAGTATTAATAGTGGCAGTATTGGCAACAGTATTATTAGTAGTAGCAGTAGCAGCAATGGTAGCAGCAGTATTAGTAGCTGTAGCAGTGTATTAAACCTACTCCTAACTAATCCCAATTTCTTTAGCACAGAATCATCACCACACATGTACCAAACAGTACACAAACATTCATGCTCAGGTGTGAAGATGTTCATCTATACCAGAAGGAAAAGAAGACATGGCTCTTTTATTGCACAGTATGTGTCACAGTGTAGAATTATTGCACATTTTCTAATACATCTGACTTTTCCTTATTATTTGTCATATCAACTGTTTGATTTTTGCTTTGAGCTTTTATGTCCTATTGTTGTTTTATGCAGAGATTGGCTGACAGATGTATTGTGACAAGTCATGCATACTATTATTCTACTCTGATTCTGATTATTGTACTTTCATTGAGTTATGTTATTGTAGGTGAAATACTGCAGCTACTTATGGTCTAGTGCAAATACTTTTAAGAAATTGTATGATTGCAAGCTTATAGTGAAGCATGTTTTCCACACATGACACATATTATCATCCTGTCTTGTGTGTGTGTGCATACATGAGAGTGTGTAATAATTATCAGTAGCTCTGGCTTTTGTTAAAGACACCATGCTGTCATTGTCTAAAGATAAATCAAATAATGTTATTACTATGGAAAACACACCCATCCTGTGTGCTGGGAAAGTGAGAGAAACTCAGAGTGTGGCCTAAATACTAGGCCTCTTTCCAGAAGCTGGTTGTTATGACATCTCTAATGTAATCATTCAGCACCTTGTGCTGTGTCTACTGGAGAAATGTGTGTCATGTTTACGTGGCTTCCCACCCTAGATCACGTGTCTTTTACACAAGAACAATAACATCCAGTCAGTTTATCTTGGATGACACTACCAAAGGAACTGATGAAGCCTCTTGGATGAGAAGTGAAAACATCTTCGACCTAGAAATGTAGTCCAGTTTTTTTCAGCTTACTATGACCTGGATGACTGAGAATCTGCACAGGCATACCAAAGGAAAGATGAGGTGAGAGCTCTTTAACTCCTTTTCCTAACAAGATTCACACTTTGTTAATCTACTGTTCCATTCATACAGGTCAGGGCTTTGTATGTACGCTTTTCATCATGAGTCCTGTTCCTGAAGTGTGCTGGAACAAGATGTAACCAGCTCCAGGTTCATGTAGTGCAGTGGAAGAGGCATACAGATGTTAAACGCCCCTGCCCAGTAGGTGACCTTCCCCTACCTCCTATGTCAAAGTCCTTATGTTGCCATGGTCATACCAACTCAATATATTTTGCAGTGTGAAAACTCATTAAGTTGCCACAGGCACAGTATGAGCCCCCAAGGAATGTTGCAGTTATATTAGAGTGATCTGCAATGGCATGTGGTACTTTGCACTGCATCCTTGTCTGTGTACAGCCACCTTATATTCTTGTGTTTTTCATTCCAAGTAAGAAAGGCTGATACCATGTCACAGTTAACCCATTCTGAGAGTTAACATACACTAAATTTTAAAGCTTTAGACTTTTTCTCAGAGAAAGTTACAGTGAGCGTTGGGCTACAGGTGCGGTGTGATGACCATGAACACCTCCATATTTTTACTTTTTAAGGCCAAAATATTAGCAGTGTTAATAAAAAGATTATAGAAAACATTATTTGAATGAGCCTGCAGTATGAGAGCATAGTGCACTGACTGTATATAAACCCTGTGTATATTGGTGGTGTATAAAATATTGCTTATTTACCCTCACATTCATTTAACTAAGTTCCTTGAACAGACAAATCTAATGCATTTGGTGTGACTGGTGAAAACACAAACATATTTAAGTGTAAAATGTGTGTATGTGTGTGTCTGTGCATGTGTGTGCTTGTTAGTGGCAGTGGATAGTATAACAGATAGGGGTGCAGTAAGGGGAGCTTGTGATCTCTTTTTCAGCAGCCAATGAAAAAAGTGAATGTTAGAAACAGATGGAAAGAACAACAAGCAGGAGACGGCAGGGGGGCACTGGAGAAACTCAGCTTTATTGACCAAAGATAGAGAGAGGATACAGACACCAGAGAGAGGAGAGAGAATGTGACAGTGTGAGTTGTCATAACCACAGAAAGAAGACAGAGCGCAAGACAAGTGTGAACAGTAGAAAATGGCTCCTTTTGGTTTTAACAGTCCATACAACCATGAGGGCAGGCTGACAGAGAGAAAAGGGAGACTCCTACAGAGTCAGAGGAGTACTGCAGGCGCGGCAGTGTGGCTGGTAATTTCAACAACTCTGTTGATCTTTTTCACCTTTTTCTATTACATCAAACATACACATTCACACACACAAATCCAAACCGGCTAACTGGATCAGTCAAGCTCCATTAACTTGGACTCAGCCTTACTTTTTTTTTTTTTATGGAAATATTTTTTTGAGATTGCATCTCCTTTTTCTAGGTACATAAATTAAGAACTGTTGCACGTAGAGTGTGTGCAGTGTCAGAACCCGGGACAACTAAGACTACACTTTTCCGAATACACTTCTCTGCATAGTCTTTAAAACCAAACAGCCATGCAATGAATATGTTGTGGTGAGTGACAATAATAGTCCCCAGTGTATGGGAGTATTGAAGCCTCTGCTGCAGTAAATAAGACCTGCACAGAGGGTATTGTTTTCATTAAATTACCTGCAGTAAAATCAAACCAAGAGACTGTATACAAACATGGATGCGGTGAAAGAGCTGTGAAAAGGATTTGCAGGTGAATTTCAATGCTTAGAAATCTTAGCATGCTTGAACACTCCAACAAGGTTCCTGTTTGATGCTACACTACCATTAAATGTTAAGCTACAGTAACTTTGATTTAAAAATATATTGGATTCTGGTGGCAGACTACCATTAAGGATGGTTGGGGTATGCTATAGGAAAATAGCTAGCAAAAGTCTCAAATTAACATTATTTGTAGTTAATAAGTAATAGTGAAAATCCATAAGATGCTGAATCTGCACAATGTTTCAATACAGTCTGACGCCTTCAAGACCAACCCTAACTGGGGAATGTGAGTGTCTGCCAAGGGTTCATAGAAACTGGTGATCATGGGGGGGGCGGAGCTGGGTTTAGTTAATTGCATGAATACACACAGCAAAGAAATGAAGTTAGAGAATGAAAATAAACAAAGCTCTCATTTGTGGAATCACACAGTCATCGTATGGCATCATAGAACACCAGAACATCGTCTAGTGTTATCTCTGGTTCTCTTATATAGACCTGGAAAATAAAATCATCGCTAAGTAGAATATAGAACATATTTACATTCTTTATCTATACAGGCAGCCAGACCCTGGAGGTCCTGGTAGTGGACAATCACACAGTCAGCTGGTCTGACTGACATCAGCAGTGGCCAGTCATGCTACAGCCTATAAGTCTGAAGGCCAACCTTCAGTTTGAAGGGGGGACTGTGTGAGCTGTGCACAGAGCCATGTAAGGAAATAACTGATTCATTCAGACCATTCACTGCTGGAAGTATGCTATTTTTTTTGCCAAGGATTGTTGTTTCTGTTTTTCATTCTTCTCATGACTTTTACCACAGTTATTAGAGAGTAGATATTATATTAGTAAATGTTAGTGGCAGGGGCAGTAAAGTAGTCAAACAAATGAGTGACGAGAAAGAAACAAAATGTACTGCAGTAAAAAAGATTGTTAAGACTCTTGAGGTGAGACTATCCCCCTTGCCTTAGGTTAGTTAGATGTTCACTATTTCCATTTTAGTTTTATTTAGTTATTGTTATTATGGGAATACATTAAAATCCTAGGCTGAATTTAAGCCAATAACAATGGGAACGAGTCACTAATTTCAAAAATTATCTCACCAGATTTATGTTGAGCATCGCCATCAAACAAAACCTATCCCCAGAGCACCCATGATCATTCAACAGAATGAAGAGGATTAGTGCTTTTAAGATTTTTCCTGAAAACCAGCTTGGACATTGTCCTATGATGATTGAATGTCACTCAGGCCACATTATTTATAGCACCCTTGTAAACGAGGGCCTGGTTGGTGACTGTAGGAAGAGCTGGCAGTGATTTCAGTTTCCCTTAATTATAAAGAGTATGATGGCATCCTGCAGTGATTAAGTGAACTGGATGGACAAGAATATAGACATGAATAGGTTATTTTTGTCTAAAAGCTCATCTGAGCACAGCTGACATATGCGATGTGGTAATCTTTTAGTGTTTGTTAATATTCATTAATCATAGCTTTGTTCCCAGGCAGTTAGTGGTAACCTATGCTTGATTTTATTGCTGGAAATATATGTTCCTTTGCTGCCAGAGTGAACTCATTAAGCTGCTTTTAGCTTCCTGTGCTCTTTAGACTTCAGACACTGGAAAAGGTGACTGTATACATTGTAGTGGCTGCCAAAAAGTATCTCTCCACTTCTTATTGGTTGCTGAGTTAGGAAGTACTAGAATAGGAGGAAATATCCTCAGCAGTGGAATATTTGGAGTAAATGGAGAAAACACAAGAGAGAGAGAGAAAGAGAGAATGAGAAAGAGATGAGGGAGAGAGTCCTGTTACTACTAACAGTTAAAAACCTCATTTTCCCAAGAAATTATGCCAAAAATTCAGTGGCCATTTAAGTTTCAAAAACAGAAGGAAAAAATTAGATTACAACAGCAAATTGAAATAAAACTCTAATAGAAACTTCTAGCTCTCATTTTTTGTTATCAATGTGGAAAAATGAAGAGGCACATAAAGTACCCAAGGCAACACGTACACTCCCCTCTGCCCTGGTCAGAGAGAGTCTGTACAACAAAGGGAGTGCGAATTGTTTGAGATCGAAGGTTGGGTACGCGTTGTGTATATGTGCATGTCTGGATACAATAGGAGAGAATCTGTTGAACAAGGACAGGGAAAAGGATATGGGAAGAGTAGAGAACTTAAAAAAAATAATAATAACACGGACTGCCATGTGTTTTATAAACTGACTTATTACAAGGTGGTGATCTGAGTGATTGTCCTTAGAGCCAGGCATACAGTTATGGTCATGGCAATGTGACTGATTGTCCATAAAGTCTTATTGACCACTGAGAAGAGCTTTATACGTAGAACCTGGTTTAAGATGTTTGTCAACAAACATCAGTTTTCTTCATCTCTGTCTGATTTCACCATAACTACAGCAGCACATTAAGTCCTACACATCAATGTGGAATTGAATTTATGAAACATATGATGTTGTTAGAGGAGAAGTGAGGTGTGAGGGCACAGCCTCCATGTTGACAGAGAGGGTAACAAAAGAGCAAAGATGTAGAGGTGATAATGAAGCTGAGTAAAAAGTCAAAGGTCAGATAAGAGCATTTATACGTGCATGTGTGTGCCAGCTGATCAGAGTCCGGAAGAGGGGGAGGAGGAGGAGGAGGAGGAAGGCATGACATCTGTTAGTAGCCATCCAGAGAGAGAGGAAAAGAGAGGGGTGTTGTGGGTAATAATAAAATTGTCAGTCACATGAGGATGCAGCACTCGCACCGTTTCCTCTTGTCTGTACCTGTGGCAGGGGTGAGGCCTGGCGGGGGGTGTGTGCTAAGATCGGGATTTGCAGGGGGTGAGGACGCGCTGTCAGGCTCACGGCAGTCAGATGACAGTTCTGTACTGGCGCCCTCAGATGTGGCCGGCCTCCCTGACACAAGGTCAGCTGCTGTGCCATCGATGACAGATAGGTCAGTGACCGTCTTCTCCCTCAGAGATTTCTCGTCGTCTTCATCAATCAAAACCACCTCGGCTTTCACCGCGCCGTCAAAACCTAGCAGCCGCCTGCTCTCGCTCATGTCCTCAATGTCCTGGTAGCCAAGGAACACCATGGTGACTGGGTGCTCAGCAGTGGCTTGGGGTGGGGAGGTGAACTCATTGCTCTGGTGGGCTGAGGAACTGGGTTGAGTTGTAATGGGAGCAGAGGGGGGCATCATGCCTAGCTGGGTCTCCCTTTGGAGGGTGACCTGGGCTGGTGGACTGGAAGGGATGGATGGTGGGGCGCAGGAAGGCGGGGACAGATCATCAGCATCTGCTGGGGAAACATAGGCTGGCATGGCAGCTGGGGTCACTGTCATCTGACCTTTCTCGCCATCTCCTCCTTGTGCAACAGGTCTGGCAACATGGTGGATCAGTTGGTCAACCTGTGCAGAGCTCCAGCCGTTCTCCACAGAAGTAGTGGACACACCCCCAGAAGAAGCGACCTCGTAGACCACCTTTCTGCCGTCATCATAGACTTTGACACCGCGTGACGCTGCATCCAATGGGTTCACACGGTTGGCTGACAGGATGCGCCGTTCACCAGTCTTTGGGTCATGCTGTACGTTGATCTCCATGGCAAACATTGCTGTTAGGAGGGGAGGGGTGGGGGAGTGAATGAGAGGAGAGACAAGGAGGGGGTAGGGGTAGATGAGGAAGGGAGTGGGGTTTGAAGAAAGAGTGAAGGGGTGGGGAGGGTCCAGTGTAGGAGGAGAGGGGAGTTGGGAGAAAAAAAGAATGGGAGTGAAGTGTGAGGATGGGGACACAGTGTTATCTGAAAAACCAACATCCGCAAAATGGTTTTGCAGTGATTATTTCTTTCTAAACTGATACATACAAATGTTGCCTTAACATTATTCTTTAGAAATGAAAATTACAAGTGCAGGTGAGTGAACTATAACAAAAATATGTAATTCATCCTCACTGTGCCTAAACTTAGTGAGGACAACTTTGGTACTACTTATTAAATCATAGGTAGTTTGTGCTTTAAATTAATTTAATATGGTTATAAACTTAAATACTTATAGTACTAAACATACAATTTTGAAAACATGTTAAGGTTACCTAAAGTTAAATTTGAACTATGAAGATGTGAGAATTTTTGTTTTCCAAGACCTAAACAGGCAGCTCTGACTTCAACAGAGTAAACATTAGGTTAAAAAAGTGTTTTTATAGGTACTTTCTTACAGTAAGGTCAGATTTATAGTCATACCTGTAGTTTTGTTTTCTTCTTACACTTGTCTTTAGATGTGAAACCATTAACTAAGTGAACAAAAGTCATAAGTCCAACTGCCTAACTTAATCTTTCTGCCCAAAAACTTTTATTTTGTAATTATTTCCCAGTGCAGTAGTCAGTGTGTAACCAGTTTTGCCACGGTCAAGCACAATGTTCCATACCTTTAACAAGTACTATGAAAAAAGTGAGAATAAAGACTAAAAGTAATACAAATATCTAGAATAAAACCATTAATATCAACTATATTTATAAATAATAAACAAAATGATATAATATGGCATACTGTAGTAGTACTACTACAGTAAAACTGATGCTCAAACTAAAACAATAAATAAACCAATACTAATCCTGTTATTGCTACCAATAAGAACATACTGTACATATGCTGTTACTTAACCTGAAGCCAGTGCTAAGAACATTTTGCTTAGCACACATGGATTTGCAGCTTTGAAAGTCCAACTGGGATTTCACTAAATTTGTGCAAACGTGTGTGTATCTTTACTGTTGTCCTGGTTATAATCTGACTTGGCTGTGGACCAAAACCTGGCTGTCCTCCCCCCTTCTATGTTCTCTCCCCTTCCTCACCCTCCTGTCTTACCAGTTCTTGGTATGGCGTGCTCTCCTGAGTCAGGTAGGCTGGTCCGAGGCTGTGGCACCAGCACGAGGTGGTCAGGATCAGGGTCTGTGCGTTCAGAAGGTGGGACGGACATGCAGCCGGTGGAATCTAGTGAGCAGGAGCATAGGAGGGGAAATGACACATGGTCAGAGGGAGAGCCATACACACACACTCTTAACATCAGTCACATGCCACTATAATTAAAACAAGCAGGGCATGCACATGTACACACACCTCAGTGATGTGTAACCACACCCTGACACAAACCCACACACACATTAAGCTCAGTCCCCCACCGGAGAAACTAACCACACCCCTGAGTGACCCTGCCCACCCCTATTAAACACATTGTTTTAATCCCTCATGGGGATTAAACTGACTTGCATTTATTTTCTAGTGAGTTACCCTAACCTTAGCCCTAACCACCTCTAATCTTTACTCTAACCTTAAACCAAGTCCTCATTCTAAAATTCAGTGATTTACATGTTGACTGCTGGCATCTGGTCCTCATGATGAAGTGTGGATGTGTAAACAAAGTACAACAGATATACACACACAAACACATTAACTCCCCACATCTTTGTTTCTGTGTCCACTTCAACTCTAGCACCCCTAGATTCAGTGCTTATGCAGCAGAAGCATATGTGTGTGCTCTTGTGTATTCATTACTTCTTTGTTTGTGTGTACTTCTGTGTGTGATGTCAGGAACAAAGCTTTTAGGGGCTTACTGGGCTTGCTGGTGAATAGGGGGATAAAACCAGTGACTGCAGCCTGCAGAGTCATGGTCTTGTGTGTGTGAGCCTCAATAGTCTCGCTGAGCCGGGTTCTATGCATGTGTGTTTATGTAGTTTGGTGCACATGTTTATATGTCTGTTAGTGGGTACGGCTGAGTGTGTGTTTGGATGGGTGGGGGGCAGGGCAAGAGCGTGCCCTGGCATGCATCTCTCCTGCCTCAGCAAGATTATCACACACACACACACACACACACACACACACACACACACAAATACATACATTACAAGCAAAAATAAAGAATAAGAGCCCCCACTGCCAGGAAACAACAAGCCAAGGAAGAATACTATCCCAATGGGGTGTGTTTGTGTAATTTGTGTGTGTCTGTGCACAATTGCTCGTACCTCCATCCTGGGACATCAGACTCTGAAAAAGATAGGAGCAAATCAATATGAGCCATGCAACCATGGCAGAATGATCTTTTTGGGGGATTTATATAATCATAATTGAAGGCTTTATACCATGAACTATAATTTATATATAAAGCATCATAAAATATATTTAATAATAAGATAATATTTTGCAGCTTTGTTTCTTGGAAACCACGAGAACATCATGATACTCTTGTTTTTTCTTGTTTACCAGTGTAATCTAAGTATAGGGAAACAATTAGAGAATGATACTACTTTAAATGTAATTAGTTTCTTCTTTAAAAACAATTAGTTACAGTATGTTTGAAAAGTAAGTTATTGGATTAGTGCTCTCTTCCTTGATAGTTAGTTTACTGTACCTTCTGCAAGTCTTCTATCGAGAGCTCTGTCTCTTTCAGACGTTCCCGTAGAACCTGTTCTTTAGCAGAGATTTTAGACTCTTCACTCTCAAGTGTACCAATTTCATGCTCCAGCCTGCAGACACATAAAAAAACATTCAAATCATTTTTTATTAAAAAGCAGGAGAACATTTTACATACATGCTGTGTGATGCCCTATACAGAAAAACATGCTCTGTGTGCTGGGAAACACACAGCACTCATGCTCGAAACAAGTTCAAAGAAAAAGGATTTAGGGAGGGAGCAGGTACAGTATAACAGGAACAATCCAGGTCCTCTATGAAGCTTGGAGCAACAAGCATTTACACCATACTATATATCACAATAATGAGTATACCATAAAGGCAGAATGTGCTTCCTACCACCTGTTTTTGGCCAACAGCGTTTACACAGCCTTTTGAAGTGTACACTTCTGATTTGGATATAATCCAGATGTTCAAAACATATGAAATGACCAGACAGAAATGAAGGATCAGAAACTTGTTAAGAACAAATGTATGACCATCTAGCCAAGAATTTTGCTTGACGAAAAAAATCTCCATCGGCATGTTATGGTATCACTGGGCAACACAGTTTAATGTCCAGAATCACAACCTGGAAAATAATAGCGCTTTTGGAGTTAAGGAAAAATAATATTAAAAAAAAGATAAATGTCCCAGTTAAACAGTTGCTGAGGTACCTTTACTGTTTATTTAAAAATCCAAAAGAGTGTGGCAAATTTGTGTCAGTGAAACTCACTAAGTTCGTGGTTCAGTTTTGTAATTAAACAGTTTATCTGGACTGAGTTGTTGATTGAGATTATTCTGACAGAAAGTCTGATGAATGACATGATTCATATCCTGCACTGCTAGTCCTACAGTATTTGAAGAAGGTTTGAATGTGTGTAGTCATTTAAAGTGCATGTAATCACCTGAATCCTGATTTGAGCTGAGGACTGTGATCTGACTGTGCACCAGATGGAGCAATACACCTGTTTGTCAGTGCCTACCACAGCAACCCATAAGACTGTTTAAAAAATGACCGTTTAAGCTACTGATTTACAGCATGAGTAACTAAACGGTTAAGGTTAGGAAAAGATCGGCTTTGTATTTAAAAGAAATTAACATTGACTGTTGACTGTAGCACCAAGAATGGTCTCCAATGTCAGTGTCATATGTTTTGTATCCTCAGCTTCTTCTCAAAGAAGTTCTGTGATGAAACTATATAGTCTGTTTCTGCCTTTGCTGTTGAGAGAGCCTAAATAATCAATTCTGACATTATTCATCGTCTGATGACAGTCTCAAAAAACAGTGCCATTACCTAAATTGTATCAAAAATAGACCCATATACACACATATGCATGCTCACAGGTTCATTTAATAGATGGATGTAATAACAATACTAGGAAGTGGTCAGGGAGGAGGACTAGGGTTGCTTCCTCACAGACTGCCAGCACACACAACACTTAAGTATACGCTCCTTTGGGACAAAAGGAATGTGTGTGTGTGTGTGTGTGTGTGTGTGTGTGTGTGTGTGTGTGTGTGTGTGTGTGTGTGTGTGTGTGTGTGTGTGTGTGTGTGTAAAAGAGATATTAGGCTTTATAACAATGCCATAAACAGTCAGCCTTTTTACAGTGGTTCAGAATCAATAGCGCTCACTTACGTATCATATTAGTGACCATGAAAAATTACTAGGACACACTGTTCTGTGCAGTTTACTGATTGGGGGACATTTATCTGAAGCCCTTTAGAAAAACTTGAGTGCCCAGGATTTAAGCAAGAATAAGTCAAACTCAGTGAACTGTGATGATTGTTCATAATATCAACAACAATCTGGGGGGATATTATGCAAGTTTATCTTTAGTGGTGTGCTGTGGCACCAGAAACATTTGTTTTCATAACCGTGTGGTCCAAATACTTTTCTTAGCCATATGGTATATTTATGCAGTACATTGCACTAAAGGTTGTGTACTGGGTTAGTTAGAGCCACTGCATAGTTATTCTGCAATAAGGATGCACCTGTCACAGCTGTCTGTCTCCTCCATGTGATAGCTTGTTTATATCTGAAAACTGAATAAAGATAAAATCAGTTTCTTATCATAAAACTGGCCTTGTAGAGCTGTGGCCTTAAGCCATTGTCTGGATCAAAATAATCACTATAGTTCGGGGATGTCCAGTGCTATTTGAAATTCAGTTCAAGAGCCAGTGTATTCAAAAACAACAGGTGATTGTCTTCACTGCAGGAAGAATGTAACAAATATAGAACCAGCCAAGGCAGCTATTGTAATACCACTTTCTATTCTGAAGAGTCAGCATCTTATCACAGTCCATTATAATGCGGCATAACAAGCTGGTGTTGGACTGGAACTGGATGGCAATTTGACTGCATAATGAATAGCATGCTGTAAGTGGCATTAAGCAGTCACTTATTACAACCTCACTACTTAATGCTATTACTTCTTATCATTAACAGTCAGTTCATTTTAAGCTGTTTCTCCTTTGTAACTTCATATCTGAGTGTATTTTGTGGTCCAGGACTAATGACTATAGTCAGACAGTGGTTATATAGAAACCATCCTATATGTATAATCCTATATTTAACCCTAACCTTACCAGTATAAGGAACTGTTACCTAACCCAGGAATGAGTTGCAAGGACTATGCCACAATGTGCAATCAGTTTATGTCATCAGACTACTTGAAATATACAGTATATGTATATTAATTGAGACAATACTTTTTTTTACAATGGTGGTATAAAATTACCGTACATGTCAGACCAAAAAGAGTGCAGGGCATGCTAACAGGCTGTGCAGATGGACTCAAGTGAAAATAAAGCAATTTATGCCTCATAATCCATAAAAAATATGTTGTAGGTTACATATATCTGAGACTTTCTGAATTCATGAGATGTCTTATTTTTATTTATTAAGATAATTATGTTGCTGCCACTAGTTTATTAATTTTGCAGTAGCCGAAACAAACAAAAATATTCTCACTTTTAAATTGTACCATCACAGTAACAGAAACAGAAATAGAAAATGACGTGGAGAGGACAGGTGTTTACATTAATATGCAAAACAATTAATTAACTATCAACCAAATTGGTTTTTCATTTTCTAGTCAACTTTGATGAACTGTGACTCAAAAATAAGACCAATAGCCAATTAAAGAAGCTGCATAGCTAATTAGCTGTGTTGCATCATCTACTTCTATTTATTTGGGGTATTATAAAGTTCTCCACAAAAGAGAAACAGCTTGCAGACAGTTGCAAGGAAGAAGCCAATATGACATCTTCCTAATATTATTCAAAATACTACTGTAGAATAAAGAAGATTGATATGACTGAGAATGAATTTGTTCTAATTCTGTTATGCTTACAATCATTATGGCTGTATTCTTCTGGACCACTAACACATAAAGTCTTTGTCACTAACTGTGTCCATGGAATTGGGGGTTAAAGATTCAGTGTAGCTTGTTTTACTTTCACCTATATCTTCTCTAATCATAGCCAGTGTTTGTACTGTTTGCATGTGCCTCCTGCTCCTCCCCACCTCATTTCCTTCTTTCCCTTTCTAGGGGGAAATGCATTTTTCTTCTGCATCCTGTGAGCTGCATGAGGTCTTACCAATGTGGACAAGAAGCGAGATTTGTGACCAGAGGAGGATGCAGGATTTGCATCTCTCAACATTACTACTAAGTCTGATGCTGTATTATCAGGAGCATCCTACAAGACAAATGTTAAAAATATTCTTAGATGGGGCATACGTCTGCATCTGTTGCACATCAATTCTAAACAACTGCTTAACATTCAAATAAATTGTTCTATTGTAAATAGATTTTCTATCTGAATCTAAATCCTTCTTTGTTAGTATGACCTTTCTCCACTAATTAAAAAATCACTTTAATATTGCTGTCCTGTAGGGACTCATACTGTGTCTGTGGTATTTAATGAGTTTATACACTGTAAAAAATACTGATAGGTAGGAGTTTAGGTAGAAAAAGCAAGTTACAAATGGACATAGAGACCAGCTTCCTATTGTTGGTGCCAACAAATCCACAATGATTCTAAATTTGGACTGGCACCTTTCTTAATAAATCCAGAACATTATAAACTTTGTAACACTTAACAGACGCACACTTTCCTTTTTGTGTCTTTGGTTGTCATTTCCCATATGATCTCTGGTCATTCTTGTGTCTGGCACCCTCTAGTGATCAAACCGAAAACATGCTCAAACTGTGAGTATACAGAAAGTGAAGAAATAATGTAATACAGCTTTTTTTTTAAAGACTTCTTTTAGCAATGATTAGAGCATTAGTTGCTGTTCATTATTTAAATACTCTAGGGTATATTATAAACAGCACTATAACAACAAGTCTAGAGTTGCACACCCAGACATCTACTAACTTTAAATGTTTCAGTGGCTGATAGTACATGTATGTGCAGATCTGTGCATGTGTGTGAGATATGCTGTCTTCTCTCCCCCTCTACGTTTTACTCATCCTCTCTCTATACGTCTGTGTCTGGCAGTGTCGCTATCTCTGTGGCAGTCCTGAAAAAGGCCAGTGATGTCACTGTCCCATCCTGTCAACCAACTGTGGGCCAGTTGCCATGGATACGCCTGGGTGGCAGCAATTTCTTTGCACAGTATACAGAAGGAGAAAGAACAGACATCAGGTTTGTGTGGTGAGTGTGTTTCTGTTAAGTGAGCATATGTCCATGTGCACTGAGACTGTCAAAGACAGAGACGGACAAAAGCAATGACAGACTGAGGGTATAAAGAAGGACTGTACTTATTATATCTGACCAGAGGAGCAGGTGAGGTTAACCCTGTTAGAGTTACACAAATCAAATTCACCTCACTCAGAGAAGATGAACTGTAGGCTTCCAGCTGTTATAGTTGGCCTCAAGTTATGATTTTTAAATACCCCGTTGACACAGTGAGATACAGTAGCTAGAATTCACAGTACATATTTACATGAAAATATTAAACTACAACTGAAATAAAGAGTGTTAGTTAAATAGTAGTTCAGCATTTGGCTAACAGCTACTGTAGGTGCTCTCATGCTGCCTCTGCAAAAGACAAATATTCTTAGAACATTATGTAACACAGTACAGTGCACTTCCATGGGCTTGCTAGTAAGCATAGTTTGCTATAGCCAGACACCCAGCTGGATCGCATGTATCTGCATTTTACTCTTCAGCACACTTGAGAACTAAGACTTTTTTGTGGTCTGTAAGTGATTGATAGGTAGATAAAATGTGTAAAAAAATCATAACTATATGGACTAACAGATTTAAGGGACTAGATGCACATTTTGTAACATATACTCCCTTTTTGCTGACAGTTAGATATGGAAATCAATACCACACTCATGTCAGTACAGTCAATATGTAGCTATTGCCAGCAGTCAGCTGTTATCCTATGGGTTAATTAGTGAGCATTAAAAGCGCTGGCTGGCAAATTTTGTACTGTTGAAAAACGCCAGGCTTAATGTTTCCCATTTCCAGTCTTTATGCTAAGTTAGGTGAGCTGTCTCCTGGGCTGGAGGTTAACTTAACATACACACAGTATTTCCAAAAAATGTCAAACAATTTTACGTAATTAATAGTGCAAGAGTGGAAAGTATATCAGTTATTGCTCCCCTACAATGATGGTGGCATCTGCGTGGAGCTGTCTGTGTAACCTAAAACAAGCAATGATCCAAAAGCAGCACAGTGTGGGTACGGGCTGTGTCGGGTCAGTGCCACACTGTGCTGCTGTATTCCTCTTTCTGTTTATTTAGCCTGTAATGACAGGGACATTTGTAAAACCACACTCTCCCATTCTGTCTCTTTATTCTCCAGGCTTCTGCACACAGTGGCTGCTACTTCTTCACTGCTCTCTCACTCCTTGGGTTCCTCAAACTAGTTTACAACAGGGAGGAATACTGCACAAATGGCTGTGGATTTATCTTTTTATTTTTCCCTGTCTGTGCTCTCCAGACTCAGTGACCTTATGTGTATGAATGGACTGTTGCTCTGTTTGCCCCTCACTTTAGGTGATTTTCAGTTTAACAGCAGGCAGCACTTACAAAACCACACAAAGACGTTACTGTTGTCCTTACACTATGCCTTTGTTTTTGTTTTTTATAATGTTTTCCATTACATTCGTATAATTGAATGGATAATATGAAGGGACTCCTGCTTCTTATCTTTGTATCTTCATACATTTGGTAGCACTAAATTTGTTCTCCAGTGACAGATATGGCTGTTCCTCCTCTTTCTTTTAATCCTGTTTATGTAAGAGCATGGAAAATAATTCAAGCATTTATAAAAGAACCACTGCTTTGTCTTTGTCACTTTCTATAATCAAAGTGTCCACTAATGCACATGTTTAAAAGTGGCGTGGACACGACATCTGGGCTTCTGTGTTTTTAGCTGCGTGACAGTAAACTCTATTTCAGAAATGTTTAAATGTGGAGGTAGGTGGCGTTTTGTGGACATCCAGGTTTATACAGCTTTATACCCACAGCTTGCATGAACATTCACCAAAAATGTCATGTGCATAGTTGTCCCCTGTCAGTATTGGAAAGACTCTGGCTGCCTGAGTTATGGGATAGTCAGGGACTGTATCCCACAGAGTGTAAATATAGATGCCACACCCTCTGCCTGAAATACACACACACACACACACACACACACACACACACACACACACACAGGGGTGTGAGCTCTTTATCAGTGTCCTGTCCAAAACATTTAAATTGAAATACCTCCCATTTTTACAGGGTGACATCACACCTGCATGAATGAATGACAAGTATTAAAAGTTTTTCACAATATAGATTTTTCTCCCTTGCCAAGGTGGACGTTTGGAAGTAATTTAATACAAATATTTTGTTATGGGGCTTCAGGTTCAAGGATTTGTGTGAAAGCACTCCTAGACTCCCACATATACTATGTGCTGTCACTTTATTTTACCCAGTGGAGAAATCTGTTCTTTAAAAGCCTCAAGAATTTAATCTCAGACAGATGAGTTCATCTTAAAGCAATTTGCAGTGTACATCTGAGATCCTGCTTCACACGTTTTACATTAATGATGTAAAATACACTGCTTGAAGAAATATTCAGTTCTACTAATACATCAGTGTAAAAGTACTCCATTACATGTAAGAGCCCTGCACTCAAAATCCTACTTATTGTAAATACATAAGTATTATCAGCAAAATGTACTTAAAGTATTTATTGTACAGTAAAATGTCCTTTGTGATATTTGACATTATTAGACTGTTTATACTAATAGTACATCAATGTGTACACAGCATTTTACTGTTGTCGCTGCTCAAGATGGAGCTAGTTCTAACTAGTCTGTATATAGTTAGGTGGTGTAATTCAGTGGCACCCAACCTGAACCTTCTCTGGGTTAGTAGTTTAAATGATCAGAAAACTGAAATAGTCAGGTACAAGTACCTCAAAGTGTACAATACTTGAGTAAATGTCCTGTACTTAGCTACTTTCCAAGTATTCACAGTTGAATTCAGGATTCATTCAGGATTCTTCTGGGTTTTGCAACTAACTGTGACTGTGCAAATTATCCTTTACTTTGAGCACTGAGTTTTGAAAATACAGTATGAATTCAGGTCTTCCTTGCCATACAGTTGTCTAGTGAACACAGTCAGAAACTTGTCCATATATTATAACAACATGACTATGGCTCCCTTTTCAGACCTGCTCTGCTTTTCTTCTTCCTGTCTGCTGGGATACTGAGGACCTAAATAAAGCAGGCTTTGGTGAGACTCCATAGCCTACACTATGAAAAATGAAACCAGACCATAAGCACATGACAGTGTGGCACAATTAAGATTTATCTTTGTGTTCTTAACACCTTTTTAAAATAATTAAACAGTCCAAACCGCACTGCCTCCCCTTTGAAACAAACTATCCTACAACAAACAAATCCATTCAGTAGCAGCTGAATGAAGTTATTCACACGAAGTGGCTCCACAGTCAAAACTGTACTTTGGTACAATGCTCTCTCTTTGACCAGTCAGGTGGTTCTGTGTACACCAGAGTGAACGTTATGGCCATGTATGATGTTAGTGTTATTTCACTGCTGGCGATAAGCTAGAGTAGCTGCTGGCTAACAGACTGTCTTTCATGCAGAGATTTGATAGATGAGGAGCTGAACCTAGAGCTTCTCAGGCAATCTACAATTTTTGAGCATGCTCTGATTACCATTGCTTAAATACAAGAAGTGTGAAATAATATATCTGCCTTGCATGCTGGAGGGCTTGTTTTAACTGTGCCTCCATTGCTTGAAACACAGATAGAAGGCCTTAAAAATATTTTATCTTCCACTGCACTGCTGAGGTTTTGTGGGCATTATTATCCATGCTACTGTAGCTGCATGCAATTTTAGGCAAAGTCAGCATCTTCCAGGCGCTGACAAGCATATTCACTGTCAGTACCTTAATGCATTCTGCAAACACACAAAAATGCTGTTGATGTAAGAATGTAAGGTAGGTCTTGTATCTATTCTATAACTATATTTGCCAAACAAACAAGCAAGTTGCATTTTTAGTTTGGTCCCCAAAACATATACAGTGATCACACAATTCATTCATTAATTTTTGCAGTAAACCATACAAGATTATAATTTTCTGTTATATCAGCTTGAAGTCTTTTAAAAAGTCAGAACCTGAAGTATTTGTTCTCACTCAGAAAAAAAACAAAACATTATCACATTGTGCCAATGGAAAACACTCATGGCGACTATAGCAAAGCACTGTAATGGCAAGAGTTCCCTGGTACTTTATTCATAGTGTCAGTGATCTCATCATGTCCCAACTTCATCTAGGAATAAGTGACTATCTCACAGCAGAGCTTGATGGGAATCAGGAAGCTCCTCCCAGAGATACAAATGCAGGAAGTGCACACAAAATCACATCACTTTCTCTTCTTCCCTCTTTTCAACCTTCTCAGTCACATCAGGGCCTGAGGGAAATATAGATTTGCTCTGAGGTTACAGAACTGCTAAATTCCAGAGCGCTTCTCCAATTACAGTATGTGTGTGTTTACTACCACTGTACAAGTGTTGAGCAGCGTGTAGTCTCACAAAATTAGAGCTCAATACTGGGATTGTGGTTTGATCCTTCCAGTGTGGCTGACTGGTGGTGGTAATTTCATTTAATCTTATAGCTAAACTCTACTTAACATGGGTTCTGGATTGCATCATCTATATGCATTTAACGCAGCAGCAAGTGGTCATATGTCCATATCATAATTTAAGTATACTACTATTTGATATAACTATGGACTATAACCTGCTGGATGTTCACTTTGCAGCTAAAAATGTCCCAGTTCTTGATTTGTGATATGACATATGATGCATAGCGCATCTATGTTGTATGTTTTCAAATCAGTGGATAACAAAAAGCTGGTTGGTGTCACATTGTTTATTGCTATTTCCATCTTGAACCATGTGGGTAGAATATGAAAATCAGTGCCAGAACTATGGACCGGACATGAGACTGGAAGGAAACCAAAGCAGATGATGTGATTGGTATTTTTAGGAGATTTCTCAGTTCAGTCAAAACTGAAGAATACACGATGAAGAGAAAAACAGATTCACAGGAACAAAAGCAGATGTGATTTTTTTTTTTGTTATTGTTATTCTGCTACTCACATCTGTTCACTATTGTTGTGGAGCCATAATTATATAAGAAAAGCTGACATAAACAGTAATGTCAAAATGAGCATGAAGACTAAACATGGGTCAAACTGTATCAGTGTATGTACAGTACCTCTGTATGATGTCCTCCAGCTTCTTCCCTTGTTCTTCATCCTGTTCCAGCTGTTTCCGTCGTGCCTCCTCCTCCTCCACACCCATGCCCTGGAGGAGCCATCGCTCACGCATGGCTTTAGACTGAGGAAGGAAAACAGATGTGTTACGTGCTCACAGAGTGATTTAAGTTGATATAAAGGCAATGTTTACTCATTTTAATTGTGAGAGTTAGATGAGAAGGTTGATACCACTCTTATATGTGCATGGTAAATATTGCAGCTTGAGCCAGCAGCTAGCTCACTGTAGCTGTGCACAAAGAATAAGAGCAGAAGAAAACTGCTAGCCCAGCTCTGTCCAACAATAAAAAATCTGCTTACCCTCACCTCTACAACACATTAAATATTTGTTGTCACTTGGTTATTGGAGCTTGTGTGCTGGGCCACTTTTTCATTGGCACAACACTCTCTTTAAAGCAGCAAATTGTTGTTTACACACATTTTATTTTTTTGCTAGTAGTTGTATTTTGTTACTTGTGAACAGAGCCAAGCTACTGTAGCTGCCCCACCCCCTCGCCCCCAGACACACACATTGAAGGTCCTCCTCCTCCTCAACTTGACAGTGAGTTTGAGCTGTTGATCATGTTTACTACTGTATAACTCCTTTAGACATGGTCAGTGTGTGCAGCATGCTGTGCAGTGAGCCACTGAGCTAGTCAGCAAGCAAATGGTTCATTTGTTAGTTCAGTATTTTTAAACACTGTTAATAGCCAGTGGACCTCTCGTACGGAGACTAAGAGAGTGGTGAGATGACTGCCAAGTGCAGCTACAACTAATAAACAAACACTCTGGCCCATATATGCACACAGTTTTTACATAACACAGATAAACTTTAAACTCAGCTGTTACTCACAGGAAAACACTGCTTGATTTTATTTAACTAGATCATTTTGTGGTTGTGTGAGCTGTTTTTGTTACAGTGCAGTATACTGTATCTACTATCAAACTGCTACCTGAGGACACATGAAACTGTTCATC